TTTTACAGCATCCTGCCCTGCGATTGCATTTGTCCCTAACCATCGGGAACCTTCACGTTAACTTTTATTGAGTGGAAAAAAGTTAGCATTCATCCTCCAGCTTCACCGTGTTTGTTATGCTAACACAGCTGTGTCACTAGCGATCACGTAGCACATCATTATATACCAGCTAGTCCAACTTAAGTAACCCTACAAACATCACTGCTGTTTAGTTCTGTCTCCATTTATGTTGGAAGTGATAGCTGTAGTGTTGCCAACTCCTCAGTAAGAAAAATGTTATTGGCTGTCCTAAAAGTCGCTAGAACTCTAATCGCCTAATTTGCATAATTGGTCATGTGCAGGTAATTGTAACAGACGCTGCAGGAGAGAGAAATAACATTGTGGAAGAGACTTAAAGTGAGTAAAAAAACACCCAAAAGCATTTAGAATATGTTTAGAACTACAAATATACTAATAATATATTTTTTAGCAATTATTGGATTTTTTTAATGTCACAATTCCGACCTTCCCTCTTTGTAGACTTGGGACCGGTGTTCTGACAAAATGTCCTACTTTGGCAAAACGTCCTACCGTAAGTAGTTTATGCACATTTCTGCTGTCACAGAGTAACTCCAGCACAAATGTAAGTAGGTAAGTAACGGTTTGCCCATTAACTTTGCCCATCATAGTATGCTTGTAGCCCACATTCATAAAGCCAGGACGGTTTGCCACTTCATTTTACCCATTAAAGTATGCTTGTAGGTAACATTCACAAAGGTAGCATGGTTTGGCACGTAATGTTACCCGTCAGAGTAGGTTTCTAGCTCTTATTAACAAAGGTAAGATGATTTCCCACTGAATTCTAGCTGTAAAATTATGCTTCTAGCTCATATTCACAAAGGTAGGACGGTTTGCCACTTAATTTCATGTTGTGTGCATGCGTAGAAACAACGGGTAGGATGGATTCCCAGAACACCTGGCAAAGGTGACTCAAAATAGACACTTTTGCCAGTTACTTTGAGTGTGTGTGTCTTTTTAAGTAGTTTTAAACCTTACTACTTATAAACTGCTTACCTGTCATAGAAACCGATTTCTAAGTTTTCAATGATGGGAATGATGTCTTTTAGTGCCTTGATTTATTTTCCACCTAAACATGATGTTTAGGTGGAAACAAGTGAGCTAACTCCCTGCTAACTTCCTGCTAACTTCTAACTCAGTTGAATTTAATACATTCTGCCTGGATATTAAACTTAATCGTTACACCTGGTAACGCAGCAACGCTGATCATTTTATTAAAGATGAAAGAATTTAGACAGTTTTTAACTCAGTGATGCCGCAGTGATCGTTTGATTTTGGGACCTGAAGCAGACGACGTTTTGGACCCAGATTACTCCGCGAGGCTCCTGACTACAGTAGCCATAATGCTCCAACGATCCATCAAGTGGTGCGGCTTCGTAGATTACCAAAGTCGCACCAAAAAAAATTTTGACAGATTTTTGAGCGCTGTGTACCACATAAAATTGTTTTGAGGTCAGTAAGCACAACCATAATTCAAACATAAGGCGCACCGGATGTATATTTTTTGAGAAAATTGCATTTTAAGTGCGCTGTATAGTGCGGAAAATACAGTATACAGCACTTTCACGTTCACACACTCACTCCAATGGATGCATCAGGAGCAACTCGGGCTTCTGCATCTTGCCC